CAACGCGCTACCTACTGCGCTAAGAAGCTGCTCATGTGAAAACTGCCTCAAGATTGCGTATATATACCATAATGCCTGTTCTAACTTGAATCGTTCGGTCGACGCGCTGCAGAATGGGTGTGGCTAAGTCAACGCGTCTTGGCCGGTGCGAGACTGACGAAGAGCGAGGTGACGTTGCGTTGACGAGTTTGGCGGACGGGCGGTGCATTTCGAGTGGAGCACGAATCAGCTGGCGGCGTCGAAGCAAAGACACGGAGTGCGTCACGCTTGTGCGATTGGCTGTACATCGCATCGCACCTTCCATCATATCGCCCCTCCATCGTCCTGCCGCCTCTCTCCCACTTCATTAGACCGTGCACAATCCGACACTTTCGACGTGCACATCCGCAGCTACCCGTTGCTGTCTTCTGATTCCTGCACTACAGACACGTTGGTGCCCGACCGGTTCGACCTCCATCTGCACTAGAAGGATTCACCTGCTCTTGTCTCGGTCTGTCCTCGCCGCCGCCGCTGCTGCTGCTTCTTCGTGCATGCACCTGCAGCCCTTGCGCGAAACTTTTTTCCAGTCCCTGCGTCGACAGCTTTTCGCTCGGCAGCGTCCATCCCGGTCCGCCTCTTCAGCGCTCCCTTCTCACGTGACCCTTCTCACTCCTCGACATGTCTTCTCGTCCCTCCGCCAAGGTGCTTTCCGAGTCGCCGCGTTCATCGCCTACTCCCATCGGACCCTCTTCGCCCACCTCGGCGCACAACGGCTCGGCACCGCCTCCTGCCACGCGCAAGTCCATCACACGCCAGCGCTCCTCGTCGCTCCAGAAGGGCGCCGCCGTGCTTCGTGCCCTCTCGCGCGCAGAGTCCGATTTCGACCGCGAGATGCTCGAAAGGAGCGGCATCCTTCAATCCGACGCACCTGCCAGCCTCGCCACGCCCGTACAGGGCGCTGCCACCGCCATAGACACTTCCGCCTCGTCTTCAACTGCTGACATGACGGCCAACGGCGCAAACATTCGCCGCCGAGCTCAGTCGAGCAAAGCCAACACCAGCAAGTCCACGTCCAGCAAGCCTCGATCCAATGGACCCGTCGCGCCTGCGAGCAGCAAGAGCTGGGAGATCCCACGCAAGATCTTCCACAGCTCCATCGGATTCATGGTGCTCCACCTCTACCTGTCCGGCACCGACCTCAACGTGATCGTGCGCAACCTGTCGTACTTCCTCGGCATCGTCGTCACCGCCGACGTCATCCGGCTCAACAACGATGATTTCGAGAAGATCTACGAAAAGGTGCTCGGCTTCCTCATGCGCGAGTCCGAAAAGGACAAGGTCAACGGCGTCGTTTGGTACCTTGTCGGTGTCATCACCTCGCTCCATTTCTTCCCCGAGGACATTGCGTGCGTGTCGATCATGATCCTGTCGTGGTGCGACACGTGTGCATCTACCTTTGGACGCGCATTTGGCAGGTATACGCCGGCGCTGCCGTCGCCGCCGTTTGCACGCCGCAAGTCCACCGCTGGGTTTGTGGCTGCCATCATCAGCGGCGCGCTCACGTCGTACCTCTTCTGGTGCACTTCGATCGCCTCGTCGGGCGTGCGAACCAACGGTATCTCCTGGTCCGGATCCGGCTACGCCCACCCGGCCATCTTTGGCACCGACCGTGTGGCGGGCGCAACGGGCACCGGATGGGAGGGTCTCTCGACTGGCTTCCGCGGGCAGAGTGGTGCTGGCCTCTTGCCCGGTGCGTCGGGGCTTTCGGCGCAGTACCTGGGCGCGGACAGCATCGCCAAGGGCAAGCTGGGCACGGATGCGCTGCCCATCCACAACGACGTGCCGGGCATGCCGTGGTGGCTGCTCACGCTTGGCTCGGGCATCGTGGCTGGCGTGGCTGAGGGCCTGGAGCTCGGCGGCGTCGACGACAACCTCTCGCTGCCCATCCTCTCGGCTGCTGGCATTTGGTCATTCCTCTGGTCGTGGGGCCGGATTGCGCCCGTCTGGCAGCGATGGTCCTCCTGAGGGACGAGGGGGATCTGCTCCGTATGTGCAAACATGGGTGAGGATTTCAACATCCCGCCCCATCCCCTCAATCTGGTTACTCAAAAAGAAGGCAAGATGCAACGAGCTTTGACCTGCGCTCGGACTCCCTCGTCCGGACCGCAAGACGCGAGAAGGCGAATTCTGGAATTGGCAGGTGATACCCCGCATAACGACTGACAAGACAATAGAACAGGTGAAGAGCAGACAAACGTGTGCGTGTGGGGAGGTGGGGCCTAGTCGAGCTTGTCTTGGATCTTGCGGAGGAACTTGGACATCTTGCCGGACCCCGTATGGCCGGAGCCTTGCTCGTGCGGAGGCGGAGGTTGGTGGTTGCCAAAGTGTTGGACGTCGTCGTCTTGTTCAGCACCCAGTCGAAGTCTCTTGCCGCAGTTGGGACGGGATGAGAGAACGGGTGTGCCGTCTTGGTTGAATTCGATGCGTTGGATGCACATTCTTCGATTTCCTTCCTGCTTTTCGAGTGCATGGAAGACGATAAAGTGTTCGTTCTCCACGCCTCTCACCACGCATGCACCACCGGGACCCATGATGCTGCGATGCCTGTCGGTCTGCAGCAGCGGATGCCCAGGACAGGTGTAGGGTCCAAAGAGACCGTTGTGCGAGATGGCGTAGGAGGTGGCATAGGTGCCGTTGGTGAATGTGCCCGAGGAGAAGAAGAGGATGTAGGCATTGGATGGCGCGTGGTGGAAGAGGTAGGGCGCTTCAAGAAGGCCGCATTGGTAGCCGTGCTTGGGACCTTGCAGGGGATGCATGTCGCCAACCAGAGATAGGCCGTCGGGCGCTAGCTCCGAGAGCCAGAGTTGGGGGTGCTCGGTGTACATGCGGTCCCAGTCGGACTGCCATTGCAACGCAGAAAGGCAAAGAGGATTTAGCAACGCGCAATGTGACCGAGAACACGGCGGTGTGCTGGAGGGCACTTACCTTGTAGACGAGATATCGCTTGCCGCTCGCCGGGTCTTCGAAAGGCTGCGGGTCTAACGTTCCACCAGACTCTCCCTTTGAATGCCGCCAAAGCAGGAGTCAGCACAAACCTCGATGTGGACTGTCAATGGGATGCATACATACCCTCGAGATGAGAGGACGGTCGGTGATCCAACGATAGGGGCCCTTGGGATCGCGGTCCGAGTAGGCTACGCCGATGCACTGTTTCTTGTGAACCGCATCCTGGCACGACACATACATCAGATAGCCGCCCCTGCCCTGTGGGGCCTCGATGACCTCGGGAGCCCAGAGGAAGCCGGGGGTGCCGGACTGGTAGGAGGGCAGCGGGCCGGGGAGACAGTCGTGCTCGTGGTGCTCCCAGCAGCAAAAGTCCTTGGTGTAGGAGCACTGGATGTTCTTGCCGTTGCCGTTGGTGCCGAATGCGTACCAGGTCTGCGAGGCGCGGTCGAAGAACACGCCAGGATCGGCAAAGTCGTGCCCAATCACTGCAGTTTCAGACGCACACAAGGTGTCAGAGCGAGTGTCAGGCAGCGCTTAGAGGGACTGGGCTTGCGAGCTTACCTGGATTGATGTAGCCCAGATGAGGATGTGCTGGCATGGCTGTCAAACTTTGAACGGTGATCTGTACAAGCAGGGTGCGGATGGTGGCAGGTCTACAAGACGATGGGATCTCATTGCATTGCGAGTACGACCCGGCGGTCACATCGGCTGCACGAAAGGCTGTGTTGGCCGCGGCCGTATCTGAAGCATGAACTGCAGGCCGGCAACAATGACCTCAACGTGCCATGGCGTTCATGCCGAGCTTCAATGTGGAGGTTGCAATTTGACGACAAAAGTAGCGCTCTAACACGTAAAAGATTCGGGTTAAACCTAACAGTTTGAAACTTGCTTTTGCGAATGACAGCTCCTTATGTAACTCGCTTTTATGTCCGGCGGCGACACGAGCGTGAAAGAGGTGGGCAGCAGACGGCACTCTCATCCCAGCCGGCAAACGCGGTGATGGGCCGTACGCTCGAGCCTGCCGTTGCCGGTCGCTTTCACACATGCGCCTATGCCTTTGTCGTGCATACAGATGAGATTCGACCTGCTTTGGCGCGCACTCACGACCACCGCAGTAGCATAGATTGTATCGAAAGTTTCCACTAGTGTGGTGTATGCCAGCCCGGTCCCGTGTGAGCTGAGTGAGGGAAGGGCTCTGAAAGTGGTGCGGCATGCGGACCGAAAAAAAGGGACGGAAAAAAGCAAAGGGACGACGCCTGATGACCGGATTAGGCAAAGCTGCATCGCCGCCGCGCTATCACGCAGCTCTCAGACTGCAGGCGCGCTTTCAACACGTCGTCTCCACTTCCTCCACCCAGGCCAGGGCAAAGGCAGGCAAGCGAGGCTGGCGAGGCTACGGCAGCATAGGCACAAGTCGGCGACGCCTATCGAAAAAGCAGTCCATCCAAAAGCTCCGACGTTTCGATCGCCTGTCGCCGCGTGCCGCATTCACTCTACTCTACCCCGCACACTGCCTCGCTCTCCACCTCGGCCCACTCGACTCGACTCGGCGCCCGCTTTCAGCGCCCCCCATCTGACGATCCACCGCCAGCCTGGACCCCCTTTAGTTCCCCACATCCCCCCATCCCTCCATCCTTCCTTCTCACCATCACTTGGCTACATAACAGCCCCACTTTAAGAAGCGGTAGACAGCTGCCTCACTCGCACAACACCTCTACACAAATTCTCCCAACACACTTACCGTCGGTCCTCTCGAACCTAACGAGACCAAGTTCGCCATCATGTCGACCTGGACCGACAACTTGACCATGGAAACCATGGCCAAGGAGAGAGCCAATCCGCCCTTCGACGTGCGCAAGGTAAGTCGTAACCTTTTTTTTAGCGACTGCCCCGAGCTTTCTGACTGACCTTCTTTTGGTCTTAATCGCAGATGTCCATCGAGCACCACGGCAGCGAGAGCGACCTCGTCAAAAAGGAAAAGTTCATGCTCGAGGCGAGCCGTGACCCCGTCTTCTACTCGGCAGACATCTACGACCTCACCAAGGACCAGATCCGCGAGCGTACCATGCAGCGCATCCAGCGCCTCGCCCACTATGTCACCAGCGAGTCGGTCGACGACTTTCAGAAGCGCATGGAGCTCATGTCGCTCCTCGACCCGGGCCTCTGGACGCGTCTCGGCGTGCACTACGGCCTCTTCCTCGGCGCCATCCGCTCCGGCGCCACCCCCAACCAGTTCTCCTACTGGATGGAGAAGGGCGTCATCGCCTGCCAGGGCATGTTTGGCTGCTTCGGCATGACCGAGCTCGCCCACGGCTCCAACGTCGCCGGCCTCGAGACCACCGCCCACTTTGACGCACAGACCGACGAGTTCGTCATCCACACGCCCAACCTCGGCGCCACAAAGTGGTGGATCGGCGGCGCCGCCCAAACCGCCACCCATTGCTCCGTCTTTGCCCAGCTCATCGTCAAGGGCAAGCGCTACGGCACAAAGACCTTCATCGTGCCCCTCCGCGACCCCAAGTCCTTCCAGCTCCTCCCCGGCATCAACATCGGCGACATTGGCAAAAAGATGGGCAGAGACGGCATCGACAACGGCTACATCCAGTTCACCAACGTCCGCATCCCGCGCGCCTACATGCTCATGAAGCACACCCAGGTCACGCGCGACGGCGAGGTGCGCGAGCCCCCGCTCCAGCAGCTCACCTACGGCGCCCTCCTCCAGGGCCGTACCGCCATGGTGGCCGACGCCGCCAACACGGCCAAGAAGGCGCTCACCATCTCGGTGCGCTACGCCGCCGCACGTCGCCAGTTCAAGTCGGATGGCAAGGCCCAGTACGAGACCCAGATCCTCGACTACCCCATCCACCAGCGCCGCCTCATGCCCCTCGTCGCACAGGCCGTTGCCTTTGGCTACACCGCCCTCGAGCTTCAGCGTCTCTTTGAGGAGACCTCGCAGGCACTCGAGGCCCTCGAGCCCGGTGACCCCAACCTCGAGGCCACCATCGAGAAGCTCAAGGAGACCCACTCGACAAGCGCAGGCCTCAAGGCTTTCTGCACCTGGGCCACCCTCGAGACCATCGACCGCTCCCGTCAGGCGTGTGGTGGCCACGGTTACTCCTCCTACAACGGTTTCGCCAACATGCACGCCGACTTTGCAGTACACTGGTAGGTCCAAAACGTGCAAGAGCTCTCACAACACTGCCATGGATTGACAGCTGACATCTCTGCGCGTTGCCCCTCTTGTTTTCAGCACCTGGGAAGGTAGGCCTCAAACGTGCAAAAGCCCTTACAACGCTGCGATGGATTGGTGGCTGACATGATTTTCGCATCGCTCCTCTTTGCTTCCAGGCGACAACACGATCTTGGCGCTGCAGGCGGGCCGATTCCTCATCTCGGCGTACCAGGATGCGATGGATGGCAAGGAGCAGGTGAGCGCGGGTACCAAGTACCTCAACAACATCGAGCAGGTGCTGTCGGCCAAGTGCGAGTCCAACGAGGCGCTCGACACGCTCGACGGCATCGACCGCGGNGGTGAGCGCGGGTACCAAGTACCTCAACAACATCGAGCAGGTGCTGTCGGCCAAGTGCGAGTCCAACGAGGCGCTCGACACGCTCGACGGCATCGACCGCGGTTGGGCGACGGTGGCGGCGCATGCGGTCAAGAAGGCGTCCGAGGACTACCAGGCGTGCCTCAAGGCCGGGCGCAGCCGCGAGCAGGCCTTCGAAGACTGCTCGCAGGTGCGCTTTGTGGCGGCGAGCGTGCACACCTCGGGCTACATCTTCCGCCAGTTCCGCGCTGCCGTCGAGCGCGTCGAGAGGAGCGACGACGGCGTGCGCGATCACCTCGAGCTGCTCGCCAAGTTTTACGGACTCTGGCAGATGGAGGACAAGGCGGCGTTCTTCCTGCGCTCCGGCTGGCTCACGCCGGCGCAGCTCGACTATGCGTCGGCCAAGGTCACCGAGTACTGCGCCAAGACGCGTACGTTTGCGATTCCGCTCATCGACTCGTTTGCCATTTCGGACCACGTGCTCAACTCGCCCATCGGCCGTTACGACGGCGACATCTACCGCGAGTACTTCCGCATGGTGCGCCGCAACAACCCGCAGCTCAAGGAGCACCCGTACTTTGAGCGCCTCATCCGCCCGTTCATCGAGCGCCAGACTGCCGAGCTCGAGGACTACGACGAGGCGATCGGCATCGACGACGAGATCGAGGAGATCAAGCAGGACCGCGAGGAGGCCGAGGCTGAAGCCAAGGCCGCTGCCGCCGAGAACAAGAAGTAGATCCGAGTGTCTTATTTGTGCTGCCGTTCCCCTATCTCTGCTCTTGTGTAATGCGACTCCAATGTGCTACGACGATTACGTGCAAGTGTGCGGGTGCGAGTTGGTCGCCGTGTCAAGGACCTGCGAGGCGGTGCGAAATCGAGCGATGTTAGACCTCGCCAGAATTGCAGAGCTTACAGAAAAATCTCGTGCGTGAACAGCGAGAAAGGCCGAAGGTGTGGGAAATGAGCCGCCACCTCGCACGCGCCCTGCGCCTAGACGTGGCATGAAGTTGGATGGCCCTGGCGGCGCGCGCTGGCCTTTCCACGCTAGAAGAAAGCCGGCTCAAGACAGTTCAGGTGGGCGTTGCAGGCGGTGTTGGTCGTGCTACTTCTGCTCCTCCATCGCGCTTGCCTTCACCACGCACAAACACACACGGGCATCATGGGGAGAAACGGCGTGCTGGGCCAGCTTCGAGGCATCGATGCCTTTTCCAAGGTAAGTCCCGCCCGCACTTCCAAACGCTTGATCCCGCTAGTTTCATCTGACGTTTTGTTTTGGCTCTAGACTATGGACGATGTGCGGATCCGCACGAACGCAGGCGCGCTCATCACGATGGTCTCGGCGCTGCTCATCGTGGTGCTGACCATCGGCGAGTTTGTCGACTACCGGACGGTGCATCTCAAGCCTTCGCTCGAAGTGGATCGATCGCGCGGCGAGAAGCTGACGGTGAATATGGACATCACCTTCCCGCGCGTGCCGTGCTATCTGCTGTCGCTGGACGTCATGGATATCTCGGGCGAGCATGTCAACGATATTCAGCACGACATCGAGCGCACGCGCGTGACGCACGATGGCAAACCCATCACCCAGGGCAAGAAGAACCTCAAGGGCGATGCCGCGCGCATTGCAGCTACCAAGGGCAAGGACTACTGCGGCGACTGCTATGGTGGTCAACCTCCGGCAAGTGGATGCTGCAACACGTGCGACGAGGTGCGCGAGGCGTATGTCAGGAAAGGCTGGAGCTTCGCCGATCCAGACCATGTCGATCAGTGCGTCGCAGAAGGATGGTCTGACAAGATCAAGGAACAGAACAAGGAGGGTTGCAGGATCTCGGGCAAGCTGCACGTCAACAAGGTCGTCGGCAGCTTTCATCTGTCTCCGGGCAAGGCGTTCCAGCGAAACAGCGTGCACATTCACGACCTTGTGCCCTACCTCTCCGGCACGGGTGCTGAGCACCACGACTTTGGCCATATCATCCACGACTTTAGCTTTGGCTCCGAACAGCAGTACCACGGCCTCACCACTGCCAAGGAGCGAGAGGTCAAGCAGAAGCTCGGCGTGAAGGATCCGCTCGAGGGCGTACGTGCACAGACCCAGCAGAGCCAGTTTATGTTCCAGTACTTCCTCAAAGTCGTCTCCACCGAATTCCGTCCTCTCTCAGGAGACACACTCAAGACGCACCAGTACTCGGTAACAACCTACGAGCGCGACCTCTCTCCGGGAGCAAATGCAGCCGCAATGGCAGGCATGTCCAACGAGGGTTCCGGCGCCCACATCTCCCACGGCTTCGCAGGCGTTCCCGGCGTCTTTTTCAACTACGAAATCTCGCCCCTCAAAACCATCCACTCGGAACACCGCCAGTCGCTCTCGCACTTCCTCACCTCCACCTGCGCCATCGTCGGCGGCATCTTGACCGTCGCAGGCATCGTCGATAGCTTGGTCTACAACTCCAGACGCAGACTACGCAGAAACGCACCCAACGACCACACCCAAGAGGGCCTAGGCTTCACCTCGAAAACCGGCAAATTCCTCTAATCCCCCCCCCC